GTATGGGGGGCAGGCAGTAAGCATGTACCCCCCATCATCATGAACCATACCAAGCCACATGACCTCAATATTGGGAGAGTGCCTTGCAACATGGGTAGGGTGGCAAAAGGACTCCTTTGTCCCACTACGTTACTACTCCTCTCCAGGGCCATAGGAAGGGGGCCTGAGTCTCAGTACTTAGTGAGTCACTGACCTAAAGCAGGCATGAAGGTATGAGTCCCAACTGTACAGATTGCAACAACGTTCTGGTTCAATGACTCACTTTAGAAGTCAGGCCAGAATAAAAGGGACATCCGTGGCTTGTAATTATATGGTGCCAATACATGCAAAGATATAAATGCCTAATAAATGACTGATCGCAACAGCTCCATTGAATTGGCTGAAATCTATAATGATGAATGCAGAGACCAACCGTGCCCAATGAATTATTCTGCAAATTTATTCACATCTGGATGGTCAGGAGTGGCAATAAATTTTATTGATCATTATTCGGCTTGAAAGGCTAATCAATGCTCAATTGCAATGATCAGGCCAGCGACCTCTTTTGAGATTGTTCAATCATATTTGAGCCTCTTTTTCACAAAGGCATTAGGTATCACAAATCAATGAGTATCTGTTGGAAATGAATTGGAAATTGATTTATTGTGCATTTTGACTAACAAACTTTGAACAATTGATCTAAATGTGCCTAAACTGATTGGCAATCCAATCCGAGACCAAATATGTGTATAGCCTGTATAAGAGAGAATCTGTCAATTTGCCCATTCAGGGTTAGATGACAATTTTCCGAAAAAAACAACCCTCACCAGTTGATACCTTCGCCAAGCATTACTGGAGCCCTTAGTAACTATCAGGTTCTTCCATGTGTAGGAGGGTATGTGACCTCCTCCAAGGATGCAGTGCTTGGGCCTAGGCAGTCAATTGCCATGCTAAAATAGTGTCAGATGAGGAGGACAAGCCCTAAAACTTACCATACATGTGACAACGTTTTGGCAACTTTAACTACCTATAATCAAGCTGGAAGTGAAATCCCAAGCGATCAAATGTGGAAAGTAGTGGTTTCGACTGACAGCAAAGAGATGGGATTGAAATTGCCTTGATTAAACTCATAGCTGAAATCCAATCACTTTTTGATGAAATCGTCATAATTTTTTTCTGGTTTTCAGTGATTTGTGAATAACCTCTATTAGAGTCCTTTCACACGTGTGTTCCGTATGTTCGTTTTTCATCTGTCCATTTATGGGTGAAAAACAGATACCCATGTATTTCTATGGACTGGTGGATGTAAGCAGATGATCATCTGTTTAAATCCATTAATGTCCGCATCCGTTAAAAAAAACCCTATTTTTCATACGTAAAGAAAAAAAAATCTAACGGACAAAAAATGGCTGTAAACGAGCATACGGTCTGTTTTTGCATCTGTTTTTGCATTGGTAAAGGATGTAAAACATGGATATAAACTGATGAAAAACGGATGAAAAACAGATGTAAACGGATGAAAAATGGATGTCAATTGATGAAAAACTGATGTGAACTGATCCAGTTTTTCTTTGAAAAAACATGACCGAACTAATGAAAAAAACAGAACGCCCGTGTGAAAGGAACCTAAAAGCTGTCTAAATACAGCCCAGGTTGATCAGATTTAGGTGGTTGATCAAGCTCATGGGTGACAGAGTCTTAGGCAACCACTCTTGGTCATATACTTGATTCCCAGTTGATCAAAAGTGGTTGAAATTGCCTGATTGTTGCCATGTAGATGGCCAGCTTAACACCATTCAACATGAAGCTTACCATAAAACTGTTTTTCTAACCAATGAAAAAAACAGCAGGGAGGTGAGATTTATTGGGTATTGGGTATTTTTTTTCAAGAGAACCTGTTATTTTACCCTGAATGGCAGAGTGGCTAATCCATTAGCATGTCCACCTAGCAGCACTATGATTGGTTCAATTCCCAACCACAGCACTATGGTTTGCATGTTCTCCCTGTGCCTACATGGGTTTCCTCCCACACTCCAAACACATGCTGATAGATACATTGTATCCTGTCTAAATTGGCCTTAGTATGTTTGAATAGGGCAGCCCTGTGGCTTAATGGTTAGCACTTCTGCCTGGCAATACCAGGGTCACTGGTTCACATCCATCCCAACCATGGCACCACCTGCCTGGAGCTTGCATGTTCTCCCTGTGCTTGTGTGGGTTTCCTCCTGCTTCCTCCCACACTCCAAAGACATGCTGGCAGGCAAATTGGCCCTAGCATGTGAGTTAGGGACCTTAGATTGTACACCCCTTGAGGGTTAGGGACTGATATGAATGTACAATATATGTATGTAGAGCATTGTGTAATTTAATGGTGCTATATAAGTACCTGCAATAAATAAATATGAGCTAGAGGCCTTAGGTTGCAAGCTCCTTGAGGGCAGGGACTGATGTAAATGTGTAATATATATGTAGAGAACTGTATAAATTGTCAGTGCTATGCAAGCACCTGTAATAAATAAAAACCCAAGTCCGGAGTATCAGTCTCTATTGTCAAAGACCCCCTTCAGGGTGAATTCTCAGACAGCTGCCATTTACTTTGCCAGCTGCCCTAGGGGGCCGTATGCACAGATCAGTGCATCACATGGCTCCCCCTTTTTTTTTTTTTTGTGTACAAACTTTAAGTGTACAAAATATGCACTTCATTCATGGAACTATCCAGCTGCGGTGCCGAAAATTGCAATGTGATTCGACACGGTGCACTGCGATAAAATGCAGCATGTCTGCAGGGCAGAACTAGACTACATAGCAGTGTGAATAGAACACCTAGAAATAAGTGTTTCTTGTGTGTCTTTGCAGTGACATGGGTTTTACAACGCAGAAAAAATGCCCATCACTACAGTATGTGTGAATTCAGCCTTAAGGAGGACTTCATGTTAAAGTAGCCCTGCAGTATACTAGTATAAATAATGCCACAAATGAAAAATTCTTGCCGCTTACAAAATGCTGTGCTGTCACTTCACTCTTCAACACCGAAGCTGAGATGGAAATGATATCCCAGTAAGTGACAGCGGGCTTCTGCAGGTCAATGAACACGGCAGGACTTCAGCGAAAAGCTGAAAACAGGATTGATCTGACTGGGACCTATTAGCAATGCAGACGGCTATTGATTTCTAACAGATATGTTTATTATGAATGCATGAACCTGCTAACTGTACATAGTCCATGAAATTATGCTGGTGTCAGTGGATAATAGGTGTAATGGTGGGTAACATTATGGAATATGGCCATCATTGACAAGCCTGTGAGGTCAAAAGGGAAAAGCAGCAGGGGATATATATATATATATATTATATATATATATATATATATATATATATTGGTAGTGTGGCGTCAAAAGGCAGCCTGGAACAGGTTTTCCAGACCACCGACACACTAATGGTGTAGGTGTGTGCTCAGTTTTTAGGGTTTTAGGCTCCACCCCCAAGGAGTCCGTGTGGTTGCAAGAGAGCCCACACGGTGCAGTCTGGGACAGGACAGACAGAGGTCCAAGCTGGAGAGCCGGAGCAGTATAGAACTGCAAGTAAAAGAGAGCTGACAGAGGTACAACGATTGTGCACACGCACAGGGATGTTGTGTTATATGGTCAGAAGGACCGAGGCATGAGGTCTGAGCAACGGTGCTGCTAAAGAGAACCACGAGGCTGTATTTTGTGCTGATAGTGGAAGCTAATCCAAGACATACTGATTGCTGTACATTTTTTTCCTCCTTTTGTTTCAATAAAAGTGGGCCAGCAAACCCTTAAAAGGCATATCTGATGTGGACTGGACTCACTGGTGAGTGCTACATTTTTAAAGAACCCCCAGGCACCAGCAATTGCTGTTACACAGTGTCCTCAGTAGGGCGCCTTAAGCCCTGTCCACATGTTTACGTGCTACATTATATATCCCACCGATTGTCAGATGCCAATGTAATAAGATATACAGTGTTATTCACTTAACCTGTCAGTGGTCAAAAAGTTATGGCTGATCATTGTATATACAGTATGTAATATATATACAGTATATATATATACATGCACACACTACATTGCCAAAAGTATTGGGATGCCTGCCTTTAGACGCACATGACCTTTAATGGCCCCCCAGTCTTAGTCCGTAGGGTTCAATATTGAGTTGGCCCACCCTTTGCAGCTATAACAGCTTCAACTCTTCTGGGGAAGGCTGTCCACAAGGTTTAGGAGTGTGTCTATGGGAATGCTTGACCATTCTTCCAGAAGCGCATTTATGAGGTCAGGCACTGATGTCAGATGAGAAGGCCTGGCTTCAGTTTCTGCTCAAATTCATCCCAAAGGTGTTCTATAGGGTTGAGGTCAGAACTGGGGTGGAGGAACTTGACTGGCCTGCACAAACTCTCTCATCTATGTCTTTATGGACCTTGCTTTGTGCACTGGTGTGCAATCATGTTGGAACAGGAAGGGGCCATCCCCAAACTGTTCCCACAAAGTTGGGAGCATGAAATTGTCCAAAATGTCTTGGTATGCTGACACCTTAAGGGTTCCCTTCACTGGCACTAAGGGACCAAGCCACACCTCTGAAAAAACAACCCCACACCATAATCCCCCCCTCCACCAAACTTTACACTTGGTGCAATGCAGTTAGGTAAGTACCGTTCTCTTGGTAACCGCCAAACCCAGACACATCCATCGAATAGCCAGGGAGAGAAGCGTGATTCATCACTCCAAAGAACACGTCTCCACTGCTCTAGGGTCCAGTAGCGACGTGCTTTACACCACTGCATCCAACGCTTTGCATTGCACTTGGTGATGTAAGGCTTGGATGCAGCTGCTCAGCCATGGAAACCCTTTTCATGAAGCTCTCTACGCATTGTTGTTGTTGTACTAATCTGAAGGCCACACAAAGTTAGAAGGTCTTTAGCTATTGACTCTGCAGACAGTTGGCTACTTCTGTGCACTGTGCGCTTCAGCATGCGCTGACCCCAATCTGTAATTTTATGTGGCCTACCTGAATTCACTGAGCTTTTGAGAGGGACCCATTCTTTCACAAATGTTTGCAGAAGCAGTCTGCATGGTGCTTGATTTTTTACACCTGCAGCCATGGAGGTGATTGGAACATCTGAATCCAATGATTTGGAGGGGTGTCCCAATACGTTTGGCAAAATATATATATATATATATATATATATACACAGTTGCAAGAAAAAGTATGTGAACCCCTTGGGATTATGTGGAGTTTTGCATGAATTGGGCATAAAATGTGCTCTGAACGTCATCTAAGTCACAACAATAGAAGAACAATGTCTGCTGAACATAATACTACACAAACATTAGATGTTGCCATGGTTTAATTGCACATACATGTAAACATTCACAGTGCAGGAAGGAAAAAGTATGTGAACCTTTGGACTTAATAACTGGTTGACCCTCCTTTGGCAGCAATAACCTCAACCAAACGTTTCCTGTAGTTGCAGATCAGACCTGCACAATGATCTGGAGTCATTTTGGACTACTCCTCTTCACAAAACTGTTTCAGTGTAGCAATATTCTTGGGATGTCTGGTGTGAATCGCTCTCTTAAGGTCATGCCACAGCATTTCAATCGGGTTGAGGTCAGGACTCTGACTGGGCCACTCCAGAAGGCGTATTCTGTGCTGTTGCAGCCATTGTTTTGTTGAATTACTTGTATGCTTTGGGTCATTGTCCTGTTGCATCACCCATTGTCAGGGATCCCGGGTCCTCGGCGGTGCGCGCATGCGCAGACTGCCGATCCTTCCCAGCCGGCGAGCGCCGAATCCTCGGCGATCGCGGCGGCGGCCGCGCATGCGCAGTAGCGATCGCGGCCGCACCAATGGGAGAACAGGGCGCTCTATTTAAAGCTGCCCTGTGCATCTCCAGGTTGCCGCAAGGTCTTGTTCCAGTCCTGTAAGTACGCTTCCTAGTTGCCAAACTCTGCCTGTTCTGACTTATGCTTACCTTCTCCTGCTCTGACCCCGGCTCGTCCCTGACCATCCTCCTGCCTGACCCTCGGTACCTCGTTGCCCACTACCTGTTGAACCTGGCTTGTGACCCCGACTATTCTACGCTTACTCCCCCTGTACCACGCTGCCCGCACAATTCCGACCCGGCTAGTCTGACCTCGTCCACTCCTGACAGTTGCCCATCCATCCCGCTCGGATCGGGATCTGTCATCCCATCCATCCCGCTTGGATCGGGATCTGTCATCCCCTTCACAGCAGGCTCAACCCGGGCACATACCCCCAGCGGGACCCCTCTGCCGCCGCCGGGGGTGCCCAGGAACGCGACCTGGTTTCAGTCTTGCACCAAGTCCATCCCCACCATCAGGGGCCCTGGTGAAAAGGCAGACTGGGACTTAGACTCCGCGCCCTGGGAAACCCCGTGCCGTGGACCACTAGAGATCCCGTTGGGTGGAGCCTGACAGTACCTTGCGGCCATGACTGAGCCTGGAAGGGGAACTTCCCCTCTGGACGACATCTGCCAACAGATGGAGACCCTTACACTGGGAATTAGGGGCCTACAGGAGGGTTATACGGAATTGGAGAGTCGCATGCAGACTTTAGCTACCTCTACCAGGGGGCCTGGGGAACCCACTAGGGAGACACCGGGGTTGTTACCCGCACCAGAACCCCGTGTCCCCACACCGGAACGTTTTTTCTGGAGACCAAGGGAGATTCAGGGCCTTTCGTAACTCCTGTCAGTTATACTTTGACCTCCAGCCCCGGACCTTTTCCTCCGAATCGGTGAGGGTAGGGTTCATTATTTCCCTACTACAGGGAGGACCCCAGGACTGGGCCCACCGGCTCCGAGAGAATCGAGACCCCCTGTTAAAGTCGGTAACGGTATTTTTTGAGGCTATGGCCCTCTTGTATGACGACCCCCCTGCGCACCGCAACGGCCGAGAGGGCCCTATATACGCTCAGGCAGGGTCACCGGACAGTGGAGGAGTATGCCGCCGACTTCAGGCGTTGGCGTAGTGACTGCCAATGGAACGAGGCGGCTCTGCACCACCAGTTCCGCGTAGGGTTAGCTGAATCCCTGAAGGACGAATTGGCCCGAATAGACATACCTAGCACTTTGGAGGCCTTAATAGCTTTGACTATACAAATTGACCGCCGGTTGCGGGAGCGCAGGCAGGAAAGGTGCAACCAAGGACGAGGCCCAACGGGAACACCTCCTCAGGCTTCAACCCTGTTCCAGCCGGCAAGCCAGAATCAGGATGCTATGGATACACCCGAGACCGGTCCATCGGGAAGAATCCGGCCGACACTAACACACGAGGAACGCCAGAGGCGTCTTACCTACCATCTCTGCCTCTACTGTGGGGGAGCAGGCCATATGGTATGTACCTGTCCAGCCAAGAGGGGTAAGTGCTCCGCTATTTTCTCTACGGTATCTTCTAACAGTGTGGGCAACACTAGTTACCTAGCGGTACCTGTGTCACTTCAGCTACCAGGGAGAACAGTAGTGACCACGGCTATTGTGGATTCTGGGGCGTGTAGTTGCTTCATAGATTTAGACTTTGCAGTTCAGCAACAAATTCCTCTACAAACCAAGGAGGTGGGATTGAATATTTTTCTAGCAGATGGGTCACGCATTAAGTCAGGGGTGGTGGACCACGAGACCCCACCTATCCGTACTACCGTATCGACCCATCACGAGGAACTCCTTCGGTTGGACGCCATAGCATCCCCATTATTTCCCATTATTTTGGGGCTTCCGTGGTTACGTGCCCATAATCCCCAGGTGGACTGGAAAGCGGGTTCTATCCAGTTCCTCTCCACATACTGCCAGCAGCACTGCCTCCCTAAGATCTCCCCGATACCCGCCGACCGTGTTGTGTCTAGAGACAGATGCGGAGCTGGCGCGAGTCATTCCTTCAGTCTACCATAATTTTCTGGATGTGTTTAGCAAGCGGGGGGCGGACTCTCTTCCCCCGCACCGAGCTTATGACTGCCCAATTGATCTCCTCCCAGGGTCGGAAATCCCATTTGGGCGGATATTCCCCTTGTCCGAACGGGAGTTAGGGGTGCTAAAGGAATATATAGATGAAAACCTCCATAAGGGGTTTATTAGACCCTCCACGTCGCCAGCTGGGGCGGGCATTTTCTTTGTGGAGAAAAAGGACAAGTCCCTCCGGCCCTGCGTAGATTACCGGGACTTGAATAAGGTCACAGTAAAAAAACCGTTACCCGCTACCACTGGTCCCCGAACTTTTTCAGAGGCTGAAGTCTGCATCTGTCTTCACTAAACTAGACTTGAGAGTTGCCTATAATTTAGTCCGTATCAGAGAGGGGGACGAGTGGAAGACAGCATTCCGTACCAGATTCGGGCACTATGAATATTTGGTTATGCCCTTCGGCCTATGCAACGCCCCTGCTACCTTCCAGCATTTCATAAACGATGTGTTCAGAGACTACCTAGATATCTTCGTCATCGTATACCTAGACGATATCCTTGTTTTTTCCCCAACCTTGGAGGACCATAGAGGTCACGTGAGGCGCGTGTTGGAACGGCTCCGCCAACACAGCTTATATGCCAAGGCAGACAAATGCTGCTTTGAACAAAGTAGTATTTCGTTTCTGGGTCTAACCATCTCTCCCACGGGAATAGCCATGGATCCCCAAAAGGTTTCGGCCATTTTAGATTGGCCAGCGCCCACCGACAAGAAAGCGGTCCAATGCTTCATCGGCTTTGCTAACTTTTACAGAAAGTTCATTAAGAACTTTTCAGGCCTAGTGTCCCCGATCACCCAGCTGACCAGGCAGGGGGTTCGCTTCCAATGGACACCTGAGGCACAGAGGGCTTTCGAAGCCTTAAAGGAGTTGTTTACGGCAGCTCCTATTTTGAGCCACCCTGATTCGTCCTTGCCATATGTCTTGGAGGTGGACGCATCCGAGAATGCGGTCGGGGCGATCCTGTCCCAGAGGAAGGGCATCAAAGAGCTCATGCACCCGGTGGCTTTCTTCTCCAGGAAACTAACTCCTGCGGAAAGGAATTATGATATCGGGGATCGGGAGCTCTTGGCAATCAAGGTGGCACTAGAGGAATGGAGATACTTGTTAGAGGGAGCGGTACACCCAATATTGATTTTTACGGATCATAAAAACTTAGAATATCTGAGGACAGCTAAACGTTTGAGGCCACGTCAAGCCAGGTGGGCGCTGTTCTTTTCACGGTTCTTTTTCCACATAACCTATAGGCCAGGGTCTAAGAACACAAAACCAGACGCACTCTCCCGCATGTTTGGGGATCCCGAGGAGAATCCCAGGCCAGACACTATCCTGACCCCAGGGAATTTCCTAGCCCTCCAATCGGAGCTCCATTCGCAACTGCAGACCGCGTCCGTAGGGATGCAAGGTCCACCCGGTGTCCCCTTATTAAATAGGGAAGGACTTTTCTGGAAGGAGGATCTGATTGTGGTCCCTGAGGAGGCCCGTACCTTGGTATTAGGATACTGCCACGATCACCCGCTGGCCGGGCACTTTGGGGTACGTAAGACCTTGGAACTGCTGCAGCGTACTTTCTGGTGGCCTAATATGGCCAGAGAGTGCGAAACCTACATAAAGACTTGTCCCATTTGTCAGAGAAACAAAACCCACCAGGAACAAAGCTTGGGGTCTCTTGCGCCCATTACCCATACCCGACAGGCCATGGATTATGATTTCCATTGATTTTATCGTGGAACTTCCACCCTCTCAGGACCACACTACAATCTTCGTGATTGTCGACCGCCTGTCCAAAATGGCCCATTTTGTACCTCTGAAGGACACACCTACGGCCCTTGAGACAGCACGGGTATTTATTAAGGAAGTGGTAAGACTCCACGGAATTCCCAGGGATATTGTATCTGACAGAGGGGTTCAGTTTACGTCCAGGTTCTGGAGAGCTCTATGCGAAACCCTGGGTATTAAGTTATCGTTCTCTTCAGCCTATCACCCACAGACCAATGGCAGACGGAGCATACAAACCAGACCCTAGAGCAGTACCTCAGGTGCTATACCACCTTCCTCCAAGATGACTGGTTTACTCTCCTGCCGCTTGCGGAGTTCGCATATAACAATGCAAGCCACTCTGCGACTAAACAGTCCCCGTTTTTCGCGAACTACGGGTTCCACCCTGTTTTCCTGCCTGATCTAATCCCGGAGGTCGCAGTCC